CGTGTTAGGGTCTCCATTTGTCTACGCCTCGCCTTCGCCGCTACCTCGCGTCCGCAGCTGTTGCCGTCTCCCTGGTTAGGGTTTCCACTGACTGCATTAAGTCTCGATTCGAGACCCTGGCATGGCCGGGTATCGAGGTGGTGCATGAGAGGGGTGGTTCTTTGGAAGATTTCGGGTGTCAATGGCATAAAACCCACCTTGTTAAAGCATATCGTTTAGTTTACTCAACATAGCTCTAGGGAACTTTTCTTTTATGTTTTAAATATTTTACATTTATTTCTTAATATTATATATATAATCAAAAATTAAAATAAAAAATTAAACTCAATATTGTGTGATGTGTTTAAAATTGTGATTACAAGTGTTACACTAATGATCTTATAACAATATCACTCTAGATTTTTACTACCTTCTAAAATTGGAAATTTTTATACTGTAAAAATATTTTTTATATTTTAAAAATAAAATAGTACTAAAAATTTGTTTTAGAGTTTTCAAAGATAAAGAAGAAATATAAATAAATATTTTAATTTACAAATGATTGAGTTAAAAATACTAATTATTATGCATTTGTAGAAGAATCTTAAAGGCTTAGCAAACTAATATTAGTCAATGCGTGCTATTATTGTACATTGCTACAATCCAATAAAAGAAACTAAATAGAATGAATTGTGAAAGCAATTGTGGATGTAAAATTGTTGGCTTTGAAAAAAATACTTAATCCAAATTAAATATTATATGTCATGTCTCCGTCAATTTAGAAAGAACTTTGTTATTATATTTTTATTTATTTATCTACAATATTAATTTAGCAACACCATAAAAAATATAATAATAATCATAATAATCACAAATAAATATATAAATAAAACTTAAGATTCTAAGACATGTTGAGATGGATTAAATGTTTTTGCTACAATTTCAAAAAAGTACAACATTTTTATTAGAATAATCTTATAAAAATCTCAGTCCTGACTTTCAAACAAACTCTCAAATATATACAAATTAACTAATGTTCTATTTTTCACTTGGACAATAATCTGGGTTTCATTCAACGGCCTGTTAGCAATTTGGATTGAAAATTATATAAAACTAAATTAAAAAAATCTTATATTTGCCAAAATATGTGCACAGCAAAAGTTATTCCAATACATGAGAATTTTAGAGATCAAATATTTCCAAATTGGCTTTCAATATTAGACATTAAACAACGTGAAACTGTTCACAGAAAATCTATTTGTGGTAAAAGTACATTATCAGAGTATGATCTGCTTTAATAGAAGAATTTTACACGTGCATTTGATTGATTTTTTGATTTTTTAAGAATTTACCATAAAAACTCTCATACAGTCACTACTGTAAAATTTAATTTTAATTAATGGATATTTCAATAAATATGATTCTTTTAAAATAAATAAATATTCTTAAAAAATATTGAATTTCTATAATTATAATTGATATTATTTTTAAACTATATATATATATATATATACATTTATTTATTTATTGTTAAAATTAGATTTTACAATAATAATTAGTCTTAATAAAATCACCTACTATAATATATTTAGGATATTGCTAATGTCACATTAGTTTTTGCTATTGCCACCTCAACACTCAATCTAGCAAATGCTAACTTTGTTTAATACCTTTCAAAGAAATTAAATTTTCTTTATTTAATATCCCTTGAACTATTTTTTTTTATTTTTGGAATACAAATGATCAAAGAAATAGTTCAAATTGGTAGTAGATTGTAATGATAGTACCATACATTGTGGTGGCATTAGCAATACCTTACATTCATATTTTAGAATTAATAAATTATACAAATCTTTAAGTAAAATAACTAGATTATAATAGACCTTTCAAAATTCTAAGAATGTAAAACTTTCATTAATTTTTTTATAATGATATTTCTTTTATTAACTTCACTAACAAAAAAAAACTTTATTTTTTTTTTCTTGAATTTGTCTTCTTATTTAGTTATAAATAATTAAATTTTTGTTATATTTTATATATATAAACTTACAAGCCTGTGAAAAAAACATATAACTAATTAATTCATTTCTATTATATTTTAGACTTAATTTGTATTATCACACATGCAAAAATAATTGCTGATGTTTTAATGCATATAACATCTTTATTTATCTTAAAATATTTTTCAAATAAACTAATTTAAAATTAAATCAAATTTTCAGATCATGTATATTTTTATAATTAATAATATGAAAATCATTTATATCATCAATATAAATATAAATATATATATAGATTATGTTATCATTTTGATTGGCATGAACATAGTATTTTTTAAAATAATTTTTAAAAACAATTATTTGATGTTAAATTTTTTAAAATCGTTTTTACTAATATAGATATACCTAAAACTATCTTATACGATATTTTTTTTAAAAAAAAACTAATATTTATCATATATTATGTATTATTTTTTAACATGTAGTCATGTCTTAAGTAGAATAAAATCAACTTCAATAAATATTCTCAAGCTTATATATATATATATATATATTTCTCCTTATAGTTTTTTTTTTGTTATGATTGTGTTTTTATTTAATACATCACACTTTTTGGATAACAATATTTTAAAAAATTAAATTTAAAATATTTATAAATTAATCTTTATAAAACTATTTAAATACACAATAAAAAGTTATTATATAATATTTGAACTTGATCTAAGTAAGATTAAATAAAAAAATTAAACACAGTTTAAATTTTTTATAAAAAATATATTTTTATTTTTATTAATAACTAAAAGATATTTGTAATATTTTTTTAAAGCTAATAAGATCTTAGTTACAACATTTTTACAAAACAGAACTTATAATTTTAAGTTTTATAGAATATATATAGATATGTATATATATATATATATATATATAGGTGTTGATACCACCATAACTTTTATTGTTGCCATTTTAATTTGTAATCCACCACATGCCACCACAATTTTTGTTGTTGCTAAAACAAATTACTCTTATTGAATATTTAACTTAAATTTTTAAAATAAATTTACAATTTCTTTTTACATAGTTTGAATACATGTATATGTATATTAAAAATATTAATATAATTGTCTTATTGAAATAGAAAAAACTAAAAAATTTATTGAGTGGGTGGCAAGTTGTAGTGGCAATAGAAAATAATGTTATGACATTAGTAGTATATATATATATATATATATATATATATATGTATTTATGTCCTTATGTTTACACAATATTTGTGTTACTTTTATGTTATATTTTGTCATATCATGGTAATGCATTTTACTTTTTAACTTTCTCTCATTACAATAAGTACTAATTTCTATTGAAAAAATGATTCCAAGGCATATGTACTCTTCCATCTTCCATACTTCAGTTTGTATGGTTGTAGCTTTTATCATGAAAGTACACTTTCATTAAAATATAATATACAATTTTTATTACAAAAATCAAGTATGTGTTAGTTTTTTTACCATAATTTACATAATTAATAACAAGTTTGCAAAATCATATGAATGCTCAAAAATTTAAACTATTGCATTATTGTATTCTAGCTAATGTTTTTGTTTTTTTCTGATTGGTTACTTACTTTTAAATAATTAATCTCCTTATAGTATCAAGTATTTGTAAATTTTTAATTTTCCTATATAAAAACCAAAAAATTTAACACAAACATAAACCATAAGATTTGTAGAATTGTGTTTAGTATAACTTTTTGTTACTAAATTCTATTATTACACCTTTTAATAATATTTGTGTGGTGTTCATAAAATATTTTTGTATGATTTTTTATTACATTATTTAAGTTATAATTTATTCTTAAGTTATATAAAATTATTCATTAATAACATGCTTTTAAAAGTTACTTTCAAAACAAAGCACCTAATGCTAATTTTTATATCCTATACAACATAAAAAGTTATTCCAAATATCAATCCAAGTCATGCTTTTAAATGCCACACATACATTTCCCTCCTCTTTTCCATATCTAATGAAGTGTTTATTTACCCAACCGTTTCTTCATAACAAATAATTTTAATTAAAAAAAAAGATTAATTATTCGATTGTGCGATTGTTTCTTGTAACTATAAGGGAATAGATGACCGTGTTGAATAGACCAATCCAGGCGCTCGTGACGGTCACAGGTCCCCGAACTCCGAAGAGGATGTCAAAAGATGACCTTGATAAGCGATCCTGGATGACGGGACCTCGAAGAAAGCCACCTCAGGCCGGGACGTGGGCGCCTTATCCGACTGCGGAGCCCCTTTCAAGGTGCCCGGAAGGGGGGCTTTCAACTGTGAAGAACGCGCGCGGCCGCTTGCTATCTTGCAGGTCGAAAAATTCGAAGAATTGGTGCGGAATTCGCGAGCGGATCGAGAGAGAGGGAGAGAGAGAGAGAGCGCGACGAGGAGCGTCCAGTTCACTGGTCTCAACCATGGCGGCCCAATTTGCAACCATGCCGGTAGCGTCGTCCTCCTCCAGCTTCGGCACTGCCTCGGCTTCTCTCTCTTCATCCTCCTCTTCTTTCGCTGCCAATTCCACCACGCTTGTGTCGCTGCGGAGGCGCGTGGTCGTGCCCCTGGCGCGGCCTCGGAACGTGACCATCCAGGCGAAGGGTGGGTTCATCCCCGCCGAGCACCGGTGGATGTACGAGGGCATTGAGAAGATGGGACCCGTAAGAACCCAATGCCGGTTAGTTTCTTGAATGTGGAATGTACCGCTGGATTTTTGATGACTGCATTGGAGTTTGTTGCTGGCTTGGAGGGATTCGTCAAGTGGGTTGAGGTTTGCACGAGCTAAGTACTGCGAATCTTTTGATTAGCGGTTGTCGAAGAGACGTGGTTTGAGAATGCACGATCTTGAGAGTGTTATACGGCCGATTTAATGTGGTTTCATACGACAATTGCCTTCTGATCAGTGATTTTTTTTGGTTGTTTGGGAGATTCCATTAGTTGCCCGCTCTACAATTTTCAAACATCTTTCCTTGGTGACTCGTATAAGTGGTATTCTTGTACGTGGAATGGCTGGGATGCATTGTATCTAGGTCTAGTAGTTCCAAGCATTGTTCATCTGACCTGCCTGTAAGCGGCAAAATTGCTACAGACGAGAATTTCTCTCACGTTAGTGCTGTGAAGGACGACGCGTGGTGTTTTCATTGGTTAGGTTAGGGATTGTGTCAGTGACGTTATCACATTGAGGTCTTCCCCGCTCACATCCAGGGACTGGTCTTCCAATGGTCTCGTGCGACTATTTGTCTTATGTTTGTCATGGTGGTTAAACTTGATTGTCTCGTGTTTTGGATCTCGATTAGGGTTCAGGTCCTAGTCTCTCTAGACTCGATGTACGTTGAGACGTCTGCAGTCTTCCCTCGTGAAGAACATTGATCATTTGCATGTATTGATGGCTATGCTGAGGAATTTGTGATCACGTGGTATGTACTTAATTTTGTTTCGTACGCAGGACGTGTGGAACACGACATACTACCCGAAGGCGGACGATCACAAGAACGTGGAGAAGAAGTGGTACGTAGTGGACGCAGCTGACAAGCGTCTCGGCCGCTTGGCGTCCACAATTGCTGTTCACATCCGCGGAAAGAATAGCCCTGCGTATACTCCTTCCACTGACATGGGCGCTTACGTTGTGGTGGTTCGTTACCTTCCTCCTTTGCAGGGAGACTGATTGTTCGATTATGCAATTCTTTTCCGTAAGGTGTAGCTACCTCTCTGTTAAGCGTTTGAAACTCAAGGCCATCTAATCAGATGTCGCTTTGCATTAGATCAATGCCGACAAGGTTGCAGTGACGGGCAAGAAGGCAGAGCAGAAGCTGTATAGAAAGCATTCTGGTAGGCCCGGAGGCATGAAAGAGGAGACCTTCGACAATTTGCAGAATAGAATCCCGGAGCGCATTGTCGAACATGCAGTACGAGGCATGTTACCGAAGGGACGGGTAAGACGATTGATCCTCAATACACATCCTAACCCTTTGAAGGATTTTTCTTTGTTTGTTTCTGCACCTTTTTTCTTACAGTACTGTATTAGTTGTTAGTAGAAGTACTCCTCTCTGTCGTGCATACTCTTCTTTCTGATTTAGAGCATCTGCTTTAGGGAGGCATACTCTCCGTTCTGTCGCGTCTTAGTGCTGTATTTGGAATACTATACTGTATTGATGGGTGCAGTCAGATTTGCCAGTTTTTTAGGAAATGTAAGGGACAGGGATCTTGCACTAACTTTTTGCCTCCTTTCATGAAACAGCTGGGCAGACGACTGTTTACTCACCTGAAGGTGTACGAAGGATCCGACCACCCCCATGGTGCCCAGCAACCAGCACCTTTGCCCATTTCAGACAAGAGGATTAATATAGTTCAATAAACGACAAGCGCTCCTGGAAACCTTGTCAGTGATTAGGTTTTAGTTGATGCGTCACCATAAACTCATTTAAGCACTGGTTGGAGTGTGACAGTCAATCTGTTTCCCTTACACGGTGTATTCTGGAATACAAGACCGACCTAGATGATCTATTTCCAAAACTGAGGAAATTCTCCAAGAGATTAGAGTTGATCCCGTTGCTAATTGCTACTGCTTGCTAGTTGCAATCTTAGCATGAACAATACCGTGTAATGAGTTTCATGAGTGGAATGACTTGAGAATCGTTTGAGCATCTGTGCCATATCCTTGGATGACATTTTAAGAACGTATTATTTGACGAAAACCAGGCAGCGTTTAACAGATCATTTCATTTGTCATATGCCACTGAGTCACTAATGTAGTTACGCAAGACAATTACTTTGGAGTGCTAATCATATTCAAGATTGCAACACGGGAAGTTCGTGAAAGGTGTGATTGTTTCTAGTGTCATGCGCTTACACCTTTTATAGCTGATTTTCTTGCAAACTACTTTGAAACTGCATGTCTTGCGATTTGGCGCATAAACGGAGGACAGGTGAAAACTGTCTCTCTTTCCTCAAGTCAGTGGTGTATTGTTGTCAGAGCAGTTGTTTTATTCGAGTAACTGTCACAGCTTTGAACTAAAACTGTCAAGTTCGGTTAAAGAATACAGTCGGCCGTCTACAAGATTTTCCTGCAGAGGATGAAAGTAACAACTGTGAACGCGAACAATGTGAGTACGAGGGGGGTTGTGCAGACTTTAGTCGTAAGTTTGTCCTTCTCAAGTACACTATATGTACGGATAGATCCTTTTGCTCCAGATTACGAGTGAAAAAAAAAAGGAAACACATCTAGTATGCTTTGCAACCTTGTATTTCAAAGTGTTGATAAGTGACTGCGCAGTGTCCTTCAAATAACCAATCAGAGGAATATACCGTCTCCAGACAACATTGGCCTTCATCTGATTCAGTGACGTGGGCACCAGGTTCTAAACCGTCAAATCTAAGGCTATAAAATCTCTAGAGATTAAAATTCGAGCAGCCTCAAACATTAGTAAGTGAGAACAGCGCGATCTTTTGACGCTATGTACTGTCTATGTGCATAATCCTGTCCTGAAGCCAAAGGCGTAAACAAGACCAGGGTGCGTACTGACCGGTGCACTACAGGTCAGGGGTAAAGAATGATGTAAAGTAAAAATCAGCCACTACGGTGCTTTATCTAGATGGAGACTTGGAGATCCTTGATCCATGGATCCAGAGGCTTTCCAATGGAATACACGACAAAACCGATCTTGCGCATCTCCTCGACGTTGAGCACATTGCGTCCATCGAAGAGGAAGGCGGGCTTCTGCATATTGTCGTAGATCTTCTGGTAGTCGAGCTTCTTGAACTCATCCCATTCAGTAATGACGCAGATACCATGAGCATCCTTACACGCTTCATAGACATCCCATACAACGCTCACTTGCTTGAAAGCAGTCGGACTTTGAGGTTGCAAGTGCTGGGGATGATCCCAATCGAACTTGTTCATAGCCAAGTCACGCTTAATCTGCTCCTCTGTCACCTGGGGATCGTAAATGCTAAGCAGGGCCTTGTCGCCTAGTAAGCCATGGCAGACATCAATAGCGGGCGTCTCTCGTGTGTCACCAGTGTCCTTCTTGAAAGCAAATCCAAGAACGGCAATCTTCTTTCCGGACACAGTGTTGAACATGGACGATACAACGCGCTTGACGAATCTCGTCTTCTGGTAGTCGTTGATCGACACCACCTGCTTCCAGTAGTGGGCAACCTCGAGGAGGCCGTTGCACTCGCAGATGTACACCAAGTTGAGGATATCCTTCTGGAAGCAAGACCCACCGAAGCCAACGCTTGCGTTCAAGAACTTCGGGCCAATGCGACTGTCCTTCCCAATGGCATACGCAACCTCATTCACATCCGCGCCAGTGGACTCGCACAAAGCGGACATGGCGTTGATGGACGAAATCCTCTGCGCCAGAAAAGCGTTGGCGGCGAGCTTGGAGAGCTCGGCAGACCACAAGTTGGTAGTAATGATGCGATCCTCCGGCACCCAGTGAGCATACACAGCCTTGAGAGCCGCAACCGCCTTCTGGCCACCGGGAGTCTCACGACCTCCAATCAGCACACGGTCAGGCTTGTCCAAATCCTCCATCGCAGTCCCCTCGGCAAGAAACTCCGGGTTCGACAAGATCTGGAAATTGATACCCTTCTTATTGTGTGTCAAAATCTTCTCGATGGCCTCGGCAGTCTTCACGGGCACAGTCGACTTCTCCACCACGATCTTATCACTCTTGGACACATCCGCAATCATACGCGCTGCGCTCTCCCAATACGTCAGATCCGCGGCCTTCCCAGCTCCCAAACCCCGCGTCTTCGTGGGCGTGTTCACAGACACGAACACAATATCTGCCTCTGCGACGTGTTTCTCCACCTCCGTGGAAAAGAACAGGTTCTTGTCCCGGCACTGCTTCACAACCTCGTCCAAACCTGGCTCGTAAATTGGCAGATCGTCGCTGTTCCAAGCCGCAATCCTGGGCTTACTGATGTCGACTACCACAACCTCGATGTCGGGGCACTTCAGCGCGATCATGGCCATGGTTGGACCCCCGACATACCCAGCACCAATGCAGCATATCTTCACCATCTTGACTCGCTTCAAATCCAAAATCTCCAGCAAAAACAGCAACACCACCACCCGCAGCAAAGCCCCTCAAAAAAAAAAGAAAAAAAAAAAGAAAAAAAGAAACAGTCGATAAACCTCAGCACTGCAAGATTTGACCCGCAGAGACCAACCCAAGTGCGGTTTCGAACTGAGGAATTCACAAGAACCCAACTGGGAAACGACAAGACTATAAACTGGGGTGCAAGTGCGACGATCGACGAGTAGAAAGAGGGCGGAGACGAGGTGGGCCCGCGTTTCCGCGTCGAGGGCGAGCAGGATCGACGAGACGGAGAGTCATGGGTGCGGTCCTTCCTCGAAAAAGCTACAGGCGGGGATCTCCAATCTAGGAACGACACGTGGCCGATGGCTTTAAAATAACTTTTTCCTTAAGAACTTTTTATTTATCGTGCCCCGCTTTCCATGTCAAGTCGTGGTCATGTGGATGTGTGCCCCCCCCCCCTTTGCATCCCCCATCCCCTCTTGGAAGACTATACATCGAAATATAAATATATTTATTTATTTCTTTATATGTTTATTTTCATCCATTTTAAGTAATATCTCTCTCATGATGTATGGTTGAATCTTGTAACTTGGGTTGGAAACAATTAGCTTATTTAACCAATACATGAAGTGACAATGCCATGAATTATGAATGTTGTTTGGTGTTTTACTTTACTTGTATACTATATGGATTCTTGACCATTTATTTATTTATTTATTTATTAATCCTGTGTAGAAGAGTTGGAAAATATAGGTGATTTTGATATGTGAAACTATTTTATTTTTGATGATGTTTTACATTTGTATTTTGAATGTGATATATATATATATATATATATATATATAAATAAATGTAATAGCTTTATGAGGTGCATTAAGAGTGCAATTAGATTTATTTTATCTCAAAAAATTATCATAATTGTCTTGATTTTTTAATCTTTTAGTTTTTGAAATGCATTATCAAGCAGTCAATGTTTTATAACCATAGTAAATGTATTCTAAAATTAGAAGTATTACATGAGATTTTGAAAAATAAACATGATGTCAATGCCTTTACGATTCAAGTGTTAGAAGGTTAATGGTTCACTTCATGATGCCATGACATGTCTATCATGACAAACATGACATTTGTCAAATATTGATGGCAAAAAAAATGATAATAATATTGATAATTCATTATTAATGGTAATTTATACACTTGTAAGAAATGTGGATAATTATCAAAATATACATTTGTAATGTAGAACCAAATTAAATACAAAACTTGATCTAACTCCACCAATTAAAAAAGTAGATACTTTAAAGTGGTTTAACAATAGCAATAATAGTTTTCATTATACATATTATTATTATTAAGAAAAAAAATTATAATTGGTAATATACAGTATATATATTGAAGCAAGAAAAATTCAAGAACAAGTTTTACATTTTGATTTTATTTTTTATTTTTTATTTTGATTAACTATAAATTTGAATGTAAGTTTTTAAACAGTAATAATAATATGTATATTTTTTATTCATAAAAATACACAGAAAAGAGGATAAAAATAATAAAATAATTAGAAAATTGGATGGACATGAAAGCAGGTGCAACTGAAAGAGGTTAACAAAAGTATTTCCAAAAATTATAGTTAACTTTTGAGTGAACTTGTTTTTAAAATTAATTCCATGTGTAGTGAATATTTGAACTCATTTCAATTGAGGACAACACTAATATGCAAATGACTTGTCTTAAATTTATAAAATTATTGGCCTTAAAGAAAAGAAAAAGAAAAAGAAAAAGAAAAAGCAAAAAATTGTAATCAAATTGAATTTATGTTGGATTGAATAAAGAGAAGTTTTAATATTTTCATCAAAAAATTGCAAAATGAAGTGTAAGGAGTGTGTATGGGAGACATACAAAGTTTTGTTTATTTCACCATACCTCACATATAATTCAATCTTCTAACAAGAGATTTTAGGTATGTGCTCTATACTTTTAAATCCCAAAAATTTGTCAACAATTATCCACTAGTATTGTTTCATTTATTAAAACTTATGATTCTACCACACACTTCCAAGTATTTCTTCTTCTTCTTCTTCTTCTTTTTCCCCAATATAGCAACTTTTTTCCTAGTTCCTTTGAATAGTCGATTTAAATAAATATATGCAACTGACATGATAAACTCATGGTTTTGTAGTTCATTTCAGATTTTAAAGTTTCTTTCACTCCCTCTTTGAAGTTAGGATGGTCAAGAAAATTGAATAAAATATCAACTTTGTAAATAAAATTAACCAATTTTTATCCAATTTGTGCCAGCGTGGTATATCCACACATTTGTGTAATAAAATTTACTGTAATGACGGTGTATTTCTTATATTTGATAATGTTGGTGTTAGAAGAATATATGGGTATTTATATATATATATATATATATATATATATATATGTATATATGTATATATATATATATATATATATATAATTGGAAAAGTACATTAGAATGTTTTTCCTACTGTGTACATAATAATGGTCAAATATTTTACACAATGCATATTAAAATATCATGTTATGTGAAGAAGTTGTGGCTTTAATAATAAAATATTGTACCTCTATGCCAGAAAGCACAATCGTACCAAATGTATGAAATAATGTTTCTAATTTACAGCTTGCTTTGGTGCATGTTTCAGTTTCTTATTAAATTTCAAACTACTTCCATCTTATGTACATCAATAGATTGTACATTTTGTGATTGATAGATAAGTTTCAAAACTTACACAACATTTTATTTTTATTTATTTTTATTCTTCTCTAAATAGAGTTTCAACCATGAATCCTATTTTGATGAAGCAAAAGTTAAAAGGGTAGGGAGAAAAGTGTGTTGAAAACGATCTTGCCTTGTTGAGAAAAAAAGTTAAATACACATACATGTATAGTAAACTGCATGTGAGTAAAATGAAATTGTATCAAATGTAAAATTTAAATTAGAAATTTTATTATGCGTATGTATATATTCTACAAAATTAAGTAGTTATCATACAAAATTATGTATCACAGCTTAACCTATGATCTTTCTATTGCACCACTTAATATCTTTAAACTCTTTGCTGTATATTATTATCCAACTTATATATTTATATTGCATCAGAACATGAAAATAATTTATATATATATATATATATATATATATATATATTCAATAAAACATTATATTATATATCCAGTGTTTATTAAAGAATTTCATAAATCATATTATAATCCTTTCATATAGGAAAACACTTTATTTATTTTATGTTAATTTTATGTCTACTGTATTGATAATAGAAGTTTCTTAGGCACCTAGTATTTAATAAAAAAATAAAAATAAAAATACTCTGCCATAATCAATTAAAGTCTTCTTTGATTTGCTAGAAGATCAGCCAAAGATTCTTCAATTTTTAGGATATCCAACAATCTTTAGAAACTCTTCTGGAAACTTCCACAAAATCTAATTATTATAGTCTAAGTAAAGTATCTATTATCATTAAAATAAAAAATAAATTTGGAATTTAAAATAGTATACTATCTAATATAGTCTGTAATTAAAATGTTTTTATGATTTATTGATTGATTGCAAAATCATGTTTGATAAAGTATTTGTCTTTGTAAATGGAAAAACATATCAACAACATATATATATATATATATATATATATTTCTAATTTTCTATATATGTTTTTATTAATTACATCGTATGTTGTATATTTTTGAATATTTATACAAAAAAATAATATGTATAGTAATTTTAAAGAAAATAATATGTATAAAAATTATTTGGTAATTTTTAAGCTATGTTCTATTTTTAAACGAAATACTAATAAATACATATATATATATATATATATATATTCCCTACTAAAATTGGACAACAATATAATTTAATGTAATCTAGACTATGATATAATTCAAATTGCTCTACTAACTTTTGCCTCTTTCATAAATATGTATAGTTATATCCCTCAATTGTTATCCACATGTTGCTTAGGCTAATGCACTTGCAACAACTCAAGGGCACAACCCTCATCCTTACAAGTAAAAATCCTTTTCAAACAACAATCTAACATTAAAAAAGGGTTGTACAAAGTAGATGACAATCTTTACAATTCTACTATTATTAAAATTGGTTGTTTTAGGTATGAAAAACACTTCACATTCCTTTTGCTTATTTTGCTAATATTCTTTTGAATCTGCAATGCAATAGATACCCCACAATACTACTACTACTCCCCATGAATTCTCCACATTCTTCTCTCTCGTACACGACGCACCAAAAACCCTAAACCCTAAACCCTAAAACTCTGTGCTTGCAGAGGGCTTCTGGTGAGTCCACACTCTCAATTTCCAATCTGGCCCACTTTTGCAATCCGAGGCTCATCAGCGCTGCTGCTTCACGAGGCTGTGTGTGTAAAACCCTCGCTGGAGACAAGCTGCGATTGCCTGCGACACACTCGAATTTTAACGCAGAGGAAACACAAAATGCTCTCACGGCTCTTAACCCTAAAGCAGGGAAGGGAGGGAGGGGAATAGTACTTACTACAACGTGGTTGTGAATGTTATTTGTCAGATCCTGTTTGGGACATCATTCGAAGCGGAGATCCATGCACGCTTGCCACCAGTTACACGAAACAGAAACCATGTTGCGCTGATGGGTTCCTGACAGCCTCATCCCAGACGCAAGGAGGTTCAATAAAGCCCCGCGTGCAGAGGCAGATTTAGTTACACTTTACTGAGTACCAGGGTATTTGAATGAGGGAGAGGGATTGAGGACTGTCGGGGTTGCAGGACAGCACAACAGTGAAGTGAAGTGAAGAGAAACAGCAACAGCAACGGCAGCAGGAGAGGAATTGGGGGAATTGAGGCCCAGATCAAAAAGAGAAACCCACGGCGACACCAGGTGATGGAAAGACAGAGCGAGAGAGAGCAGGAGTGGCAACGCAAGCCTCGCAGCGTGCACAGGGTTCACATGGGGTCACTTCCACCTTCTGAAATTAATTTATACACCACCGAAGAAGATCTTGGACACTCCTGCATTCCCTTGTTCATCTGTAATGCAACATACTCTGCCAGGGTAAGTGTGGTTTGGGTTGTTTTAATCCAAAGTTTTGCATGGAAAGTGAGATTGTGGAGGTAATTACACTTGTATTACATCATACATATAGATCACACTTCGTATTGCTTTACGAAAGACGTGAAAGCTCTCTCCTGCTTTGATGGAAGGTGTGGTGGGCATGGACAATCAATCAATCAATCAAAGGGTAGTTGTAGTTAAGAAATAGTAAAACAATAGCCATGTGGGCCAATAAAGGATTTTTTCTGCATCATGGGGCCAGTGACAACACACACAACATTCCTTCTTTATTTACCATGTACTACCATTTGGATGTGGATTATTTTGTTTACTAAACTCTTCAGATTATGTAGATAAACTTAATGATATAGATGGAAAACACCAACAAACACAACTGCATAATTACATTCTGTTATTTTAATTTTATTTATTTATATAATAACTGGTTTCCTGGTTTGTGAGAGGTTTTGTAGGTTTTGTGGGTTTTGGTTTTATGGTGTTTATTTTTTCAGTTGATGAGGCGATTGTTGGCTTGCATGGGAGTGGGGCCTTGGTTAGGCTGTAGGTTTAGCACGATTTTCTGTTGGAGGGTTGTTTGTTTTTGAGAGAATAACATTTTATTTTCACTCTTTTGATTTTTGATTTTGATTTTTTACAGTGAATTGATAACTCGCTATTTGTCGTGGGAAACATCTGGAGTGTAGTGCAAGATTGATGATTGAGACAGCATTGCTGGATTTATAGAGACAGATTTGAATAGTACTACGTTGCCGTTTTGTTGGTATGAAGATTGTAACGATTTTTGGCGAATTTCTAGTATTTCGTACTTGTTCTTCTACATCACTTTAACTAACTCTAATTTTTGAAAACTCTAACTTCTTTTACAAATCATGATCCGCTCGCGAGTATTCTATTCGTCATGACTATCACGCGAATTTGAAACACCTGATTGGTCGCAGAGTATACAGCAATGCATCCTTTTGTGCTGTATTTCGTCATGAAAGGGTTACGAGAGTTTTCTGAAAAGTACATTTTGTTGAAATATATTATACACGCACAGATGTATCTACTCGCGTGAGCATCAGCAAGATGATGTTAGACCTAATTCACAAGAGAAGTATAATTTCAACAAGCGACTGTCGATTCAGCTCTTGGGTTGTACATGCCCTGAATATTCGAAGATACGAGACTCACGAATTCAAGCATTCTTTGCATCCGGAGGGCAACGAATTGTGTTTTTTTCAAACAATGTTCATACTTAAGCCACCCTTGATGGCTGCTGGAGTGGTCGCAACTTCAAGCACCGTTTTTGGCACTTCTGCAATTTCAAGTTCCAGGTTATGGGAGAAACATGCAATTAAAACACGGCTGAGAAGCATTGATCCGAGTATCAGATATCAGGTCCTTTTGCAGACCTTCTTGCCATTTTAATACCCTATTGAACCTAGATGTCCCCGGCTTCGTGATCATCGTGTGGAAGGGATTCAAAATATGGAAAACTGATAGCTGAGCACTTTCAGTTAATATCGTTTCCATATGGTGGACTAATTCTCTGATTCCCACTTTCTCTGGGCAAGCAAAAGAGAAAGTCTCAGTGGATAAATAAAATTGAGGTTGATATAGACTGCAAGTAAGCATTACCGTGCTTGACCAGATCGTATGTAAGCTGTTCCCTGTCTTTGGCGCTTAGAAGCTGGGTAATTGAAATCTCATACATCGTTTTAATCGAATCCATCAGGTATGTTGTACTATGGTCATGTCGTAATGCAGATTTTAGAGGGTTAATTCCCGAACAACTTGGCTTTATGGTTTGTGGAATTGTTGTGCAGAGAGATCCTAAATAAGCCAGTAGATGCGGAGCTAGTGTTAGCTACAGAAAATAGTCATGTTCACAAGCCTATCAACAGAACGATCGTGAATTGTCACGAAGGCATAGTTGTTATCATCACTAATCTTGGTGGTCAGTCCCGCTGTATGTCTTCTCGCAAGAATTAATCACCTACTGATACGTGTTTTTCTCGTAACTTTGTGTTTTATGTCTTTTCTTTTATTTGTGAGTCGTAATTAGCATTTTGTTCATCACAAAACGCAACGAGCTTTTTATTCGTAAAAAAGGGTTTAAAACATTCTATCATCGTCACGTCTCTCATTCCTTAAAAAACATGTATCGATTTCATCTCACTGCTTGTAGCTTGTTTCTCTGGTTTGTAATATTACGTTTCATGCATTTAACTTTTCTCAACTTTACCTTGTGATGGTAGGCACTGCATTGAAGGAGCTTGAATACGAGAAAGATGTAATCACCCGCTACTTTATTGGAAGCAGCTAAAACAGAGGAGATGCGTTAGATGGACAAGTTGATCTCGAAAGCAGAACAACAAACGATTTACTGATACTGGGACTCAACTGCCTTAACTGACTTGATGTGAGTCCAATTCTTCTATATGGACTGTCCTGCTTGTCACACTTTTTTCAAGGTGTAAGCCTGGATTAATGTCCTCGTTATTGTTGATTTCAGCATAGCCAAACATAGACACCTACATAAATAAAACCAACAAATTATACTAGTTTGATTTGTTTACTAGTCTTCTTCTAATGATGGTCTGCAACTCTTCAGGACGACTTCATTGTGAATGATGATATCATGCAGAAAACTAGTCTTCCTCTCGAGAATGACTTGGAGACTGTATTCAATTTTAGTTTGATTTTTAATTGCATGCATTTCTAGTTCATCACATTCCGACAGATTCGCGTGATTGTAACGTATGTAATGGTTCCGAAGCAGATATGGAGGCGACCATTCCATCTAGTCATTGAGACAAGTCCAGGGTGTAAGTGGGTTGCATGAAGTCTGTGCGGGTCGTCTTTGACTCGTACGTTTCGTAAGCTTGCTAGTTGGGGAGATCGTAGCTATAAGTGGATACACTTTGCGTACATGCCGTTGTGTGTGGGTGTGGGTGTTTGTTTTTCTTGGTTTCTAAACTTGAATTTGTATTTGTATTTCTGTTTTCTTCCCTCCATTTTAACATCAACATTTCATGTTCTGGAACCTCTATCGCTTTACGCACATGCATGTTGTGGAAATTTAAGCAACCTGATTCCTTTCTATTTTATCTAGAATCGAGCTTTATGTTCAAAATTCAGTACGTCAATTGTAATACATTATAAGTTTCATTGATTTGTGTGTGCAGATACTATCGGCATGCTGCTGGTCAAATTCATGCTCTATCGAGATCATTAGTACTCTCGAAGTATACTTCAATTAATAGATGAGTATTGACGTGTTGACTTAGTGACCATGGGACTACTCTTTGGTTCTCATTTGTGTTCTTCTGGGTCATCCTGCTTGGTTTTGGCATTCCCTGTTTATATTTGCTTCATGCAGCGTCTGTCTCAAAAAATATACAAAAATTAGGACGTAGGAGTTAGAGTTTGGATGCAAGGCTTGTTCACAAACGACGCAGATGACCAGAACCTGTTCTCTGGTTATAATGTTAGTAATTTTCTTATCTGATCTCTGATGAAACTCATTTATCATCTTTTGTCAATAACCCATTGAACTCACGTCATTGGTCAATGATGTAGACCTAGACGTGTGCTTATATGTAGTACATACAGAGTGCTTATATGTAGTACAGTAGATTACATAGACCTATGCTACATATAAGCACACTGTATCCTCTTGTGTACTGCATCTTGATAATAAACATTCCTCTACTTCTTCGATACACGATGCAATTATCAAATTGCAACAATCTCTCTTCATAATGGCATGCCAATCTTGGCTTGCTTTAATTCTGTGTTGTAAGAGGAGCTTGAGCGGGAATGCAAATGATTGTGCTGGCAAGTCTTCTCTTGCAGTTATCAAATTCGACAAAGATTGTCGAGCTCCGATAAGTGCACCTGGTAGTGAGTACTGTAATTGTGGATTGAATCCAAACTGTATCTCTCTTCTAGGCACTTATCAAGTGCAACCGTTGTTCATGACACCTTGAGAGTAACTCTGTTGATGAACTGTTGATTAATGAAGGATATGTTGTATATTTCTAAAATGGTTACCATTTCTACCTTTTGTATTAAAGTCTGTGTTGCACAGTAGAGAATTCGAGAGATTTCCACCTTCAAAATCATCTAGTGAGCAGCTTGCAATGACATTAATGAGTCCAAAATTTCCATTAGTCAACTCGTAGTGAAGTCACGAGGTGTAACTTACCATTTAAGATGCTTGCAATTGAAGAAGATGTCAAGTCCCAGTGTGAATACAATAAAACGTTTTGATATATGTGCAACTTTTCTTAAAGTGAACACTAAGTGCACAAATTTTTTATACAACCAATGCAGAGTATTCACCAATCCCATAGTGGTGCATAGGACTAGAACACAATCCTCTACATGTTCACTATGTCAATACAAGTATTAAATAAAAGACTCAATAAAATACTAAAAAACCCATGACATCAATACACATATTGTTTTTTAGTCGGAATGTATGCATTGAAGAATTTGTGCATTGATCTACCATGGAATTCAGAACATTGACTTCTAATGCCAATCGACTTTCATCTAACGTTTTGACACCAATGGTCATGTTCTTGAAATCTTGTTGGCTAACTTCATTTGCTGAATCCCAAAAATTATTCAATGGACTCTCGCTCTAAAAAATCCTAGCCACTGAAGCTGCAAAGGCATAAAAGGCTAAGCAGTATTTTTTTAATCCAATCCAATGGGAAGGAAGGGGGGCAGGTTGTATACAGATCCAGTACAATATCATGGAATAAGATGATACTGCAATTTCCAAAGCTTCTCACATCCAGCAGTCATCGCTTTCTCGACATGGACACCACAGAAATTGGCGACTTGGCCAAATGTGGCGCTATCTACAATGTCCCCACGAGCACCATCTCCACCCCAAAGGCTGTAGAAATTTGTTGCATCCCGGATATGCCACGACATTATGCAACCCAGCTCAAAACTGATTTTTGTGTACAAGTATGAGCTTGTCGCCATTGAATTCACAGCAACAACCTCTCGTCCAGAACCTCAAACAACTAGACTGCATTTCGGAACCACTCATTTTCATTAAGAATTGGGTGGTGCAAGTTCTGTCGACAACAACATGCAAAACTTCAGGGTGTTGTATTTTGTTGGTTAAGTCTCCATGCAGTGCCTTCTTCTGGAAACATGCCACCCTCGCAAGAGA